GGGGCCTCAGAGAGGGCAGGAGAGGGGCGGAGCCTTAGAGATGAGGTGAATCGAGGGGCGGGGCCTCCCTCCTGATAGTTTGTATCCATCTCCAGCCCTCGTTCCATTCCCGCTGGGGCATCCCGGCCCCGCCTTTGCTGTAGCTAGATCGAAGCCTGTGTGTGCGGGCATCCCTGACTTGGAAGCAGCCCCCATCCCACTCGGGACGGCTCCTGCCTGGGTGCCGCTCTGCATCTATAGAGCAAGTTTCCCCACTTGGACTGTACCAATGACATCACGTGCCCAGTGCACGAGGTGGTGCTCGCCACGTCCCACACCTCCTGATGGTTTTGAAGGAAACTCCTCAGGCCGTACGGGTGTGAGGTTTCTGTGTGGTCCGCAAGCTTCTGGTCACTCTCTTTTCTTAATCCTGAGCATCGTGTTTTTCACCACCCTCCCCTGGGCACATCTTTGTATCAAAGTCACCAAGTATCACAAGATACCTTGATATGATTGGAAGGATGTTACCTCCTTCTTAACCTCTACCACAGATGTTGACTAATTATCTTCATGCTGATGTTTTTGCAAATGCTTATCATGAGCCAAATTCATGGGAGTGATTATGGATCTTGTTTAAAAGTCTCTGCAGAATTCCGGATTGATGCCATCGGCATAATGCCATCCCCATGCCCCAGCAAGAAAATCTGGAGGACCTCACGGTCTATAAGAAATCCCTCTTTGCCCTGACTGTTCTGGATCAGCCACAGGAAGGTGGCAAACCCTTTTGGTGAGCTTACATTTGTGTTTGTTACACCTCCCTTGATAACAATAGAGGATCACAACCTTCATCAAGGCTATTTCTTGCTTTATCTTTCAACGAATCTTGTATAATTTTGACCTGCACCTTGGTGGGGAAGCTGGTAGAGATATTGGCTACTGGGCACTCTTGCTTACAGAAGTGTACCTATTTTCTTCTAATAGACTTGTCAAGGATGTTCACCATACATATGTAGAATACTCCTCTAAAAACTGTATAGAGATAAGAAAGTGTAGAAGTTGGACTGTTATTTCAGGAAGAAGCTTAGCAGGAGCTTGGTGGTTTCACAAAGACAATCTAGTCTGTCCTCCTCTCAGAACCTTAGGGTCGTTTTGGCTTGTATTTCTCTTATTTCTAGTGAGTTGGAGTAGTCTTTCATAAGGCTCTGAATCATTGGCAATTCTTCTGAGGATTGCTGTTTCATGTCCTTTAATCTGTTAGTCCTTAAACATATATATTGGTGTTAGCTCCCTGTGTAGCTTGGATAGCAGACCCTTTTGAAAGATTTTTTCCCTAGCTGACTGCTTTCCCTTCTTATCCTAGTTGTTTAATTTGATTTATGCAAAAGCTTTTCAATTTCAGGCAAGTTCTATCTTTTATGGCCACTTCTAGAACTCACCTCTTAGGCTATAGACATAAAAGTACCTGATCTGATTCTTTTCTAATTGTGCTATGATCTGGCCTTTAATATTCAGGTCATTTTGAACTTATTGTATAATATAACATGGTGTTGAATGTGGGTTTATATTTGATTTCTGCCCAACAGCTTTCCATTTTTTCCAACAATTTTTGTCAGATTAGTTCTTCCCTAAGGAATTTATGTTCTTGGGTTTACTAAGCATTGTCCTAGTGAGTTCAGTGGTCCTTATCTTGTCTATCCCACCGATCTACTTTTCTAGTTTTTAACCAGCATTAGATATTGTCTTGTAATATTCATTATTACTTTATGTTTTTATCTTATTTATTCTCTTAGTATAATTTGACGTCTAAATGTACAGCAAGGCTTTCCAAGTAGTTTCCTATCTTTTTTCTTCTTGAGATCAAGCAAGCCAGCACTTATTAAGTGCCTTCTATGTACCAGGTACTTTGCTCAGCTCTGGAGAAACAAAGACAAAAAAAGAAACCACCCCTGCTTTGGTTTGGTGGAGCAGGCATCTGTTTGAAGTCAAGAAAACCTGCATTCAGCAGCAGCTAGGTGGCGCAGTGGATAGAGTACCAGCCCTGGAGTCAGGAAGACCTGAGTTCAAATTTGATCTCAGACCAGACACTTGACGCTTACCAGCTGTGTGACCCTGGGCAGGTCACTCTTCCTTTCTGAGCCTCAGTTTCTTCTGAGTAACATGAAGAGTTTATACTCAATGGCATTAGAGGTCCTTTCTGGCTCTGAATTTATCATACTATAATATGGTGCATTCCATCAGGGGAGAAACCTGTGCATACATAAGTAGACCACAGGGACTGTAAGCTCCTCTGGAGCATATATGGGATGGGGTGAGAATTCTGGGGGCTCAACAGGCACCCAAGAATTTTTAATGGAATACCGGAGATATTAGGAAGTTTGACTGCAAAGCCACCCAACAGATAGCGGGAAATGTAGCCTGATACGTAAGTCATAGGTAACTCAATGACTGGAAACTCCACTTTTGCAAATGAATTTGACCTTAATGTGACCATAAGGAAAACTGGCTGTGACAGGGGTCTCACCTAGACAAAGGGGGATGGGGTAGAGGCAGGGATAAAGGGGTGCTCAAGTGTGATGGTCCCTGCAGTGATCGGCAGAGGGGAGCTGTCAGTGGAAAAGGAACGGAAAGGACGAGCCTTTATTAAATGCTAGAGGCTCTAGACAGGAAACCTTTTCTCCAGGTTCCTTCAAGCCTCGCCTTCAAGTCCTGGCTCTGACCCTCTCCATCAGGGGGAACAGCGAGCAAGCCAAGTTCCCTCACCAGGCAGCAGCTTCTTCCCCAGATTAAAATCCCTGGACTGTCAGCAGCCCTTTGTGAACAAGGAAACATAAACGGTGAGGACGGCGGCATCCGAAAGGACCCCAGGCACGGAACATGTCTTTATTAGAGAAGCAAGCAAGCAAGCACAGAAAGGACACGCGGTGCTTAAGGTCGATACAATACGAAAAATAGAAAAATAGAAATGAAATTCCATGGAAAGCAGCCTCACACACAGCTAGATAAGAGAAGGTGCCCGGCCACGCTATTGGCCACCTGCTCTCCAAACAGCTTTTTCTTTTTTTATTTAAAAAGGAATAAAAGTGTAAATCCAGTGTCTACACCTGTGTTTCAAATAAAGCAGCACAGAACTGAGCCCTTTGGGGTGGTATCTGCCCTTCTAGTCCTAGAACCTGGGTAAGGACTGCCTTTCAGCTGCTGGTGCATCTTAGAAGAGACAGGCATTCTCACAGCTGCCGTCGAGAAAGTGATTGGGAGCCAGACGGCAGCTGCCCACGTCCCTTCCCACCGCCCTTCTGGCTCTCCTTTCCCCCATGCTTTTCTCTGAGTCTCTTTCCTTACCCCTCTGGGTTCTCCATGCTTTGGGTCTGGTGGGAAGGCAGTGACGATATCACCTTTTCCCTTCAGATGCCATGAGGTTCAGGGCTCATGTAAACAGGAGCAAGAACTGGTCTGAGTGAAGTATGCTGTCAAGCTTGCAAAATGTTTCTCCTGCAGCCAAGGCCTCAAGTACAGACAGAACAACATAAACAGTATGGAAAAAGCGAGAATGTTTTAGAAGTCTCATAGTTGGCAGGCTGCTTGCCACTTTCAGTTGACTGCTGTCTTAGGGGACAAAAAAGGCAGCTATGGAGTAAAACATAATTTCCAGTTGCAGTTTATGGTTAATGTTTTCTGTCACTGTAAATGTCATCTTCCATATGAACACTTCAAATTATGTTACATGCCCATGTACTGGATTCTCCTTGCCAGGCCTCCATCACCAAAGTTCTCCTAGCAACCTTCACAGGCCTCTAAGTCCGCCCAAAGAAAACCATGCAGAAAGCCCTCCCCTATCTGGAAAAACTAGGGGCCAGTTTCTACATCTGTGGGCACACCCCCCATGATGTGGCTTCAACCCATACCATCTTGTGCTGATATGACTCAACCCTGCTATCACTTCGCACACGTCCTCCATAGTATCGCTTGGCTATTTGCCTCAGACCAGATCTGATAGTTAGGAGGGATTCAAGCTAGCCTTGGGGTACAAGCGCTATTAACCAGCAGCCTGCTTACTGCCTGACTTGTAACATCATTCTTAGAGAGTTAATTGCCCCTCTGGCATTGGTTTTAGTATCAAGATCAAGGAACTACGTGAAACAGGATATGCCTACATTTCAGAAGAGACACCAAAGACTGAGCCCTAGAAAACTCAAAGAAGGAAGAGCTCTCTTCCAGACTCTCACCCCATCCCTACCCTCCATCTTAGAGCCATTACTCATCTAAGAACCAGATAATTGTGCCCTTTATGATAAAACTACAAAAATAAATACAACAGTTAACCCCTGAGATCATTCTAGAATTCCGTTTGGGCTTGTCACTGATTCCCCTCTGAAATGAACATTTATTTGGTTTACTATGTTTATTCAGAGTCTCGGTGAAAAGCTCTATAAAATACAATAAATAATCAGGATGGGGCAGAAAAGGTATATATTCTAATTGCATATATGTTACATACTTTGTACTTATATAGAATACAGTCCATCACGGCTGCATGTTTTTGTAACGGCTTATGTTCATACGAGTAGATAAGGGACTTCAAACACTACAGATCAGAGGGCTGTTTGGGACTGAAGGTAATTACGTGGCCGACAGTTACTTAGCTGTTGGCTTTTTCCAGTTGTTTTACACAGAGCTACCAATGTTTGTCCAGCAAGTCATAAGGGAACGCATCAAGGGCTTCTAGCTAGTCGTACAGGACACGGGTGCTGCGAGCATGCAAAGTTTTTTTGTAGTTTGAGTTTTCTTTCTATCTCTTTTATAAATAAAAGTCAAAGACGAGATCACACTTTCCCATCTTCTGTTTGTATACCAGATCAAACTTCTCATTCATGGATACAGTGAAGATGTCCTTCCATAGGCCAACTCTTCCTGAAATGAAAAGCAGAAGAGGTGTCATTTGATTTCTACATGCCTGCTGCACCAAACCCTAAACCACAGGCACTCTGAGAACCCTGAGCAATGGAAACACCAGGCTCCAGACTCCGCTTTAGAACATGGTGGGCACGCAAATTCTTTTTATGATGCAAATGTGGTGCTGATACCTAAACCAGGAAGAGCCAAGATAGAGAAAGAAAATTATAGGCCAATCTCCCTGATGAATATAGATGCAAAAGTTCTAAATAAAATATTGGCAAAGAGATTACAACAACTCATCTCGAGGATAATTCACTACGACCAGGTAGGATTTATATCAGGAATGCAGGGCTGGTTCAGTATTGGGAAAACTATCAGCATAATTGACCGTATCAACAACAAAACTAACAGAAATCATGATTATCTCAATAGATGCAGAGAGCATGGTGGGCTAGGGATGCAGCCAGCAGACAATTTGTAGGACAACCATGCTTCAGTGGTTGGACTTTCACTGACTGAGGTTGTTGGGTTTGGAGAAATATGACTTAACCCGAAACATATCTGAGTACAGTCATAGAACATCAGTGCTGGAGGGGACCTCCTCCAAGGCCATGCAGCCCAACCCTGACCCAATCAGGAACGAGTCATCATCCACAGGTGAAAAGGAGCTCACTCGACACAGTTCCTGGCATAGAGTGGTCACTTAGTAAATGCTTCTTTATTCATTGATCGATTGGTCGCCTCCTGGGGCCCTCTGCACTACTCTTGAATGGTCTTGCCCTTTGGGGCTGAGCAGGAGAAGGCTACTCCCTCTTCTATGGTGGCCCTCTCAGTGATGACAGGGATCTTTTCCTACTAAATCTCATCTTCACTAGAATAATATTATAGGGTCCTAGAGGTAGAGCTGGACGGGAAGGTAGACCAGTCCAGCACCCTCCTTCTACGGAGGAGGAAACTGAGGCCCACAGAGGGCAATGTGCTGGCCAAGGTGACACAAGTAATAAATTGCAGAGCCAGCCTGTGATTGCAAGCTCAGCACTTTCCGCTGTTCCATGCTGCCTCCCAGATGGGATGGGCCCCACAAAATAGACCACTTTCTAGATTGAAAGCTCTCAAGGTGGGGCTCGGATGTCCAGAATGAGTGTCCCAACAGGCATCCACTTCTCTGATATGGGCTCAGGTCAGCGGTGGATGGGCCGAAGCCCAAGAGAATTTGGAAGAGATTCTCCATATTGCAAACTGACTTGGAACTACCAAGTAACAAAGGATCCCATCTCTGATGTCTACTCTCTGTATGACCATGGATAAGTCTGATTAACCACTCTGTGCCTCAATTTTATTCCTTGTAAAATGGTTTCATTCGTAGAGCAATGTAAGGAATGAGCTGCCCTTCAGTATGAAGCGTGTGGCATACTAAAAAGAAAAACCTCTTTCCTGGAGGGATAATAACATGAGAACCTTCTCACCTGCTTGGCCAGGGTGGTTCTCAAAATAGACCTCGCCCTTCCCACTTTGTTCACAGCTAGAGAAAATTATCATACTGGGCAGGAAATCTGGTAAGACAGGATTGCCTTATCCCATCTTTCCTTGAGATAACAATGAAAAAGAAAGAAAAGGACCACTGGGAGACTTGGTCTATTCAACAGGAGATAACAAAAGGCAGCAGTGACCTGGTTTGTTGGACTGTGCAAATGACCAAATCTGGTCACAGAGTGGACTTTGCCCACCATAAACTTCAGTGTGACTGTCTACACAGATCACCAAATCCTTAGGTTTGCCCCTGGACTACTCACACTAGCTAATAAAAAGGGTGCCTATATCCTACCATCTAATCACTAACAATGTAGCTCATAGTTAAATTGATGTTTTTCAGCCAGATGACTGGTCAGCCCTTATGGCTGGGATCTGATGGGTTGCTCCACAGTTGGCCTCAGATCATCAATTATTGTGTCCAAATACAGAGAGAAGCAATAGTCCCCATTTTCTGCTCTGGTCAGACTTCATTGGGAATCCTAGGTTTAGCTTTGTGTACCCAATTTTAGGAGGGATGCTGATGAGTGGGACAGAGCGTGGAGAGGAGAGTCTCCAGGGTGGGGTGATAACAGGAAACCATATTACATGATGATAGATGGAGGGAACTGAAAAAGGAAAAACTTCGGGGGAAACGTGCAGCAGGCTTGAGGTGTTTGAAGGGTTAGCACAGGGCAGAAAGAGTAATCTTATGCTTGGTGCCTGAAGGCAGCCCCAGGAGCCTTGGGGAGAGCTGAAGGTAAGGACATTTCAGCTCAGACCTAGCCCTAAGAGCTGTCCCCAAAGGGAGTGGACTATAGGCCTTCCAGGAAGCATGGAGTAATGAGAAAACTATTGGATTGGGAGGCAGGAGAAACCTGGTGTTGAATTCCATCTCTGATGCACACTGCCTGAATGATGGGCAAATCTAATTAATCCCTCTGTGCTTCTGTTTCCTCATCTATAAAGTGGTGATAAGACCTACCTGTAGTTCTGTTACTAAGACTATGTGTATAAGCCACCCTACAAGTTGTAAAGCCCTCTAGAAATGTCACTTGTTACTATTGGACATTTGCAGCACCTGGCACCATGCCTGGTACCCAGGGGGCACTGGTGCATTGGCTGGTTGGTCAATTTTTCAGGCACAAGATGCATTAGCACTCAGGGGGAATGTTGTTTAGAAAGGAGTTATAATTTGGACAGGAGTAGACTGGAGGCCTCTGAAATCCAAGCCAACTCTGACATTCAGTGATTCTATATATTTGGTTGCAGAAGTCTGAAAGTAGTAGTTGGCTTAAGAAAAACCTAGGAGTAAGTGATCACAGTATTTGAAGCTAGAAGGGACTGCAAAGATTCGCTTCAATTCAATAAGTATTTATCATATGCCTATTATGGGCCAGGCCCTATGCTTGGTCCTAGGGATCCTCCCTCCCCAAAAGAGGAAACAGTCCCTGCCCTCAAGCAGCTTACGTTCTCCCAGAGAAAAATAATACGTGCACAAATAAGTGTATACAGCCTATATACAGAACGAATAAAGAGTAATTTTGGTGGGTGTGAGAGTAAATATAACCAAGGTGGAGTCAAGAAAGGCCTTCTGAGGAAGGGAGTTCCTTAGCTGAGCTGGGAAAGAGGTAGGAATTCAAGAGTGGTAGTAAGGAGGAAGGGTGTTCTGGCATGAGGCATGGCCTAGGCAAAGGCCCAGAGTAATGGAAAGGTGCTGAGGTGGGAGATGGAGTATGGTGAGTGAGAAACAGAGGGAAGGCCAATGTGGCCTTCTGTCCCTTAGTGTTCAAGAATGTAACGAGACTGGAAAGGTAGGTTTGGACAAGATGGTGAGGGGCATCTAATGCTAAACAGAGGACTTTACAATCGATCCTATTGATGTTTGCTGAGTAGGGGAATGAGAGATGGGATCACCCCTGTGCTTTAGGAAGACTGTTCTGGCCTTGAGTGGAGGATGGATTGGAGTGGGGAGAGACTTGAGGTGAGCAGATCCATTAAATGGCTGTTACAAGGGTCTAGGCAAGAGTTGATGGTAGTCTGACCCAGGGTGCTGGCCACGGTGTGAGGCTCGAGAAGCTGTCTCCTTCAGGATGCCATCTTTGGTTCTCTGTGTCAGTGCTGAGCTCCCCCCTGCCCAGCCTCCCCCTCATCACATGATCCTCACATAACTTACTTAGCAGGTAATACTGCACACATTGTCCTGATCCGCGTTCGTACCCGACTACCGTGATGGTTAGGTCTCTTGGGTCTGCCTCAGTGCCTAACAAGGCTCTGCACACAGCAAGGGTGTAACAAATGGTGGGGGAGTTGCTGAAAATGGGGTGAGAAAGCAACATGTGGAGGAGGAAGGAAGGAACATACCGCGCCCAACAGGAAGGGCCTCCGCGTTGCAGCACTGGTCAATGAGCTGGTGGCAGTGCTCCACCATGGACTCTAGCTGGGCCTTGTCATAAGACACACCCAGGAATCTCACCAGCTGCTCCACCATCGTCGCCAGGTCCTGGGGGAGAAGTACAGGACGCATGAGGACTATGCATGGCCCCTCCTCCCCTCCCCCGCTTGCAGAGGTAGACGTAGGCCAAGCCCCATACAGGACCATGGAGGATGAAGTGAGGAGCTAGAGCCGAGAATACAGCGAGGTGCGGCTGGGGACCAGCCTCGTCCCATGTGGCAGGCCTCGAGCCCAGGACACATTTTAAATCGCCAGAGAGGGAGGAGCAAGACTTCATAAACTGATGGGTGCTGGCAACTTATCCCCTCGTAGTCGTGGCATCTGGAGCTGCAAGAGACCTGGGAAACCACCTTGTTCAATCCGTCCTTTTATATGTGAGGAAACTGAGGCCTCGAGAGGGGGAATCATCTGCTCAAGGCCACGGGGGTGTACCGAGAAGAGCTGGGCCTCCACTTCAGGTCTCCTGACTCTCTTCTCTCACCACTCTGAAATGCTAATGCTCCAGGGTCCTAAATGCCCCTTTACAGTCTCTTGGGAGCCCCTCTAGGTGACCAACTGCATGCTGGATGCAGTGGGGGCGACAGGAGAAGGAGAAGACAAAATCTCCACTCTTGAGTCACTCAGAGTTTTCGTGGGGAGTCAAAACATACTCGGTTCGAGCCGTTGTATCGAGTGGTAGATTGAAAAGAATCCTGGACTGTCCTCAGTGGACCTCAGTTGGAACACCGGCTCTTTCACTTGAATAGTTGTGTGACTGTGAGCAAGTCATTTCCTTCTCTGGGCCTCAGCTGCTTCCTCTCAAAAATGAGTCGTAAAATTGGAAGCCAGAGAAACCCTTAAAAAGTATCTCTTTAATCCCACCCCCGCATTTTCCACATGAGGCCCAGGGAGGAATGTGACTAGTCGAAAGTTCTACGTACAAGGAGTGAAGTCAGGATTCCAACTCCTGGCCACTTCCAGAAAAGGCCAAAGAGGAAGACCAGAGGCTGAGGTCTTGGCCCACCCAAAGGGTCTACTGGTCAAGAGAGTAAAGAAACTGAGAGCAGGGCTTCCTCATCCCCAGCTCCAGCATACATCCCACTCAGCTGCCCCCAGGCTACAGTGGAAAGGACCAATCCAACTTGTCCATTCTACTGCAGTGAACAGAATTGCTTTGGGGTGGGTGAGTGAAATTGCCCATGAGAAGCAGAGAATATGCATGAGTGTGTGTACAACTGAGGGAGGGAAGAATTTGTATATACCTATGTGAAGGAGTGACACTCTATGTGAAAACACACACACTGGTTGGTGTGCGTGAGAGACAAGGAAGGTGTGTGAATGCACACATGGTGTATATGAGCAAGTCCAGTGAGAAAGGAACTGGGCTGGGGATTGGAAGGCCTGGCTGTGCCAGTTACCAGCTCTATGACCTTGGGCAAGTCACACATCCTTCTTAGGCCTTAGTTTCCTCCTCTGTAAAATGAAGCTGTTGGGCCAGATGAGCTCTAAGGCCCCTTCCACTTCTGACATGACAATCTTTGAATCTTTTCACGTCAATGAGACAGAATTACTCCCATAATTTAATAAATATTATTCTCTCTTTGTCTTACTCTCCCTTTGTCTCTCTGTCTCTCTGTTTTTCACTCTACCTCTGTCTCTGACCCTGTCTCTGTCTCTCTGTCTCTCTCTCTCATATGCACACCCATCCAAAAGCATATTTTGTGTGTGTGCTGAGGAATATAAGAGTTGGTTTGATTCTTCATACTTTGAAAATCCTCACATATCCATTTTCCTGAAGGTGCCCCTAGCTGTGGGGGATCTGATCCAGTTTTAAAGTGAACCCATGAAAGGGTATGAGGATTCACACTGATGAGGAAGGGCATGATGGGAACATTGCCTGATCAGGACAGTCAGTGCCTTCAAGCCCAGGGCACTGGTGCCGCCAGACCCACTCACCCGGTGCATGTCTTCATACTTGAGGAAAAGCACGTTTGAATCCATATGATGGTCCCAGAATTCCTGGACATGTTCAAACCACGAACCGTATCCTACTGCAGAAAAAACAGGGAACAGACTTGTCCACGGGAGACTGGGGCAGACAAAACCTCCGTCCCATTGCTGTGTCCCCCCAGATATGGAGCAGAGTGACCCCAGAGCCCAGCTACCACCTGAAAAATAGCTTTCCTGGCATGTAGGAATTATTCTTAGATAGATGGATAGATGGATAGATAGATAGATAGATAGATAGATAGATAGATAGATAGATAGAT